TTACATACAAAATCATATATATTACATATAATATATAAGCTACTATTTAAGATAAAGAGACAGATATATATAAAATATTTTTCAAGAAGAAATTTTTCTAACTGCTCTGCTGAAGGCTCCTTACCTTCATTCATTGCTGGCAAACAATACAGAACTGGCAGCCCTAATTACTTGAGATACACATCATGAACAAGTGTTAACTCAGTTTAGTTAGCAGATCACAAAACATCTGTTTCTATTTTCATGAAAGTGAAAAATAAATCTTGTCATAGCTAAGTATATGAAGCCACAAAATAAAAGTAAAAGTTCACCTGGCATTCCTCTGACTCTTCTACACTCACTGGAAGAATAGAAGGCTTTGCTGGTAATTTCAGTTCATATGACATTATACTCCACCTACAAGAAACGTATCAGCTTTTAAGTTTTCAGGTTGTTAGTTTTATCTTTTCTCCAACATATCAACAAAAAAGAAAATTAATTGTCACATGCAGAAGAACTTGTTAAAAAAAATCAAAACCAAACAACAAAGCATCTTAATTTTTAATTGTATGCTAATTGAGACTATAGGTAAAAATTTGGTTTATTGATCAGATATATTGTTAGTGATTTAATGATGAGTCTTATGAGCATTTAATGCAGGCAACAAAGATAGCAGCAAAACATTCACAGTATGAAAGAAGTTGTGCAAATTAATTGCAGAAGTAAAAAGGAAAATATAGGTGTTCCTAGAGAAAAAGCTCTAAGGTAACATTAGCTTTTCATCTCAACTAGGGAAGGGATGCATGAGAACAAAGCAAATGGTGAAATATCTTCACTGACATATATATATTTTTCTCCTGGTAAAGGAGATATAATCTACAGTATAGAAAGTATGAAATCACTAATAGCAACATCCTTCACAGCCTGCTGAAAAGAACAAGTAATCATTGCAGATGGCCTTTGGAGCAGTCTACTGAAATTACAGCAAGAAATGACACGGCTCTTTTCAGTACAGAAAAAGACAAACTTGATTAAATCTGCGAATCCTTCAGAATGCCCAGGCCAACATTTCTTTCTAGGAAATGTCTAAGGATCAGTATCAAGCATTTTTCTACATACTTTCCTGTAAAATGATCAAGTAGTCTGCAGAAAAGCTTAAAATATAAAGGACATGTTTCTCTATTTCACTAAAAGCCCCCTAAAATAAAATCCTCTTTGATTGCATTCAAGTGGTTGTAAGCAGAGCAAGAACAGAAACACCCATGAGATAAAGGAACTGAGTAAGAAATACTCTTCTCAAGAACAGAGCTACACCTTCATTGGAATCACATAACCACCACCTTCTCTGATGGTTTTTAAACCAGGACTGCTCCTTAGCTTTATGGATAGAAACACAAAAAAGGAGTAGGAAGATCTTTTGGATTTGACTAAGAAAATACTTCAAACAGAAATACTAGTAGTGGATCAAACCAAAGATCTGCCTAGCCCAGCATCTAATCCTCAGCTGATGCCTGAGCAAATTACATGAAGGATGAAAGCACACAATGCAAGGTCTCCCCACATCCAAGGCCAATACATATACAATGTCAATCTCATGGCGAATTACATCTATGCACATTTAGGTTTACCTGTCTAACATTTTTGTGCTGGCCCGTTCTAGTTTCTCCAAAATCTGAGGAAGTTGTGTATCATCATCACAGGATCCTCCCCAGCCAAGGACACGAGCAAGGTCATTTCCAGTACCAAGGGGTAACACTCCTAACTGACACTGAAACACAACATAGGAGCAAATCTACTATTGAAAACTAGAAATAAAAAGTAAAAACTATTACAAAAGCTTGTTATTTCAAGCAACAAATGTTAATCATACATCTGATGTCTAAAGCTTGTAAATCAAATTCTGTGATCTCAATGCAACTTGTCCTCTTGACGCCAGTGAAAATCTTCTTTTAAGAGCAACCATTGAGTTTAGCCCACATGCAGATATATGACAAACAACCAAGTCAAGGACAAGTAAGCATACCACATTAAGTCTAGTCAGGAAATTAAGTCTAGTCAAGGAAAGTAAGCATACACACTTGCCTGTTTGTGCAAGCTGAGCTTATCAATTTCTGACAAGACCCAACCCACGCTTCCATCACCACCACACACGAGAATCCTGAAGTTGTCAAACTTCTGAAATAACCGCAAACTGCAGAGAAAACACAGCCTGTTAGAGCCAGTTATATCCATTAGTGAGAGAGCACTTATATTCATTAGCAACCATGACATGAAAATATGGTGCATGGCACCTTTATGGTGGTTCTTTTATTGTTCTGAGGTATGTGGATACAACTGATTACCTTATAAACCTGACTGCATCCCATCTATTGCTCCATATCCCACTTATACTGACATTTCTGATAAATAACATGCTGATTTTTATTAAAAAAATCCCTTTATATTGTTTTCAGGATTTTATTAATATTTTTAAATTTTATTATTTTTTAAAAAAAAATCTAAGCTATGAAATTGCAACTGCTCTATGCGTCCCATTTCAGCCAGAAGCACGAGGCACCAATGGGGAATTTTTCACAAGAAGCGGTTAAGACATGATGACAGGATGTGTTCCACAATATGGGTGGGTTTCTGCCAACACATGACTAACCAAATGCAAGGACAGTTGGAGGCAATTATCACACATAAGGTGGGTGATAACAACAATATAAGACAAATAATACTGGTATTTCATATTAAATCCTTAAAGCCGTATCCTGCTTTCACTTCCTACGGCTTTTCCTCTTGTTGTCCGACTTTTAACACCTAAAGGATACAACACTTGGGCAGTACAGAAAAGGAGGACAAGAGAGACAGAAGAAGCAGAAAGGTGAGAAACAGAGGAAAGGGAAATGAGATGTGAAGAAACAGCCAAGAGGTAAAAACAGGGATTTAAAAGTTTAAAAATAAAAATAAAAATGGGAAAGTAGAAATTCTTAAAATAATAAGGATGTTTATTTTTAATGCATGTTATTTTCCAGAATATGTATTATCATAGAGCTATTTTTAAAAAGCAACATATTAAGATCACAAATTTTGAAGCATTCATACATTTTCTGAAGAAAATAGTGTCACTTGAATATGATAGGTAGACAACTATTCACAACAAAAGATGTAGATATTTAAGGAGAAAAATATTGATACCAGAACAATTTCTTCTACCATGAGAAAAGAGAGAAAAATCTCTAGAAATACACTATGTCAAAGACTGCAACTCCGCTTCTCAGATCAACTAGAAAAACAACACCAGCATGACCTGATAGAATAACTGCTAAAGACCTCTCTTTGGAAACCAGGAAAAATATTTAAAAGCAACCAACCTGACCTACGATTACTACACAAAACCAAAGTGAGCCTTCTGAACCATGCTGCTGGTAGGTACAACTACATGAAGAAAGAGAACTCGCAGACAGACAGACATTTTTTCAGGCTGTCCTCTCTCAAAAATTGTCTCTCCAATTGAGATGAACCTTCTTTACTTTTATCCGTCATTATAATTACATGTACAAAATGTTAGCCAAAAGGGACTTTGATTAAAATCAGATTTAAATCAGGGTTATTATGAAAAGAATATTACAAATGAAAAAGTTAATATAACATGTCCATAAAACAGTACTAACTATAAAAATCCATATTTGTATTCTATTTGTTTATTTGCCCATTGTTTGAACTGAATTTTTGTGCATTTGTTTCATCTACTTTTATATCATGCAAGCAAAATTATGCATCTGTACAAAAATTAGTGTTTCTAGCTGCTGTAACAGATATTGATAGGCCATTTAACCACAGTGCTACCTCTGAGCGGAATTAAGTTAGGCAACAGAAAAATGTACATGTATTTAATCTTTATGAATGTGCAAAGACACTTGGGTTGTAGCCACCACTGTGCAAATTTCACCCCTATCTTTCCAACAATCAACCCTTAGATTTTGAAGAATGCCTGATGGTTTTAATTGTGTTCTTGACCATTTGCACATGTTGCCTGAAACTGTATTTTGAATGTAGTTTTCCAATGATAAAAGTTTTAGTGTGCTCATCCATCACCCACTGCAGATTCCCCAATGACATTCGTGTTCAGAATAAAAAAAGATACAGAGTACATTTAGACAACAGTTTTATTCCATAGCTATTCACAGCAAACTGACACAAATCTCTGGATTACGCATATGAAATGGAAGAAACGCACCCAGGCAACTGTGCATAAAGGCCCTGATTCAGGAAAGCATCTAAAACATTTGCAGTGGTTTTGATCCTTACTAGTTAACAGAAATCAAGACTAGCCAAAAAATCACAAAAAACCTGGGCTGATGGGTTTGTGGTTTGAATTTTCAAGTGAGTTTTTTTGTCTAAAAAGAAAATATTACCCTACAATCCCTTCACCCACCCGGGTTCATCCTGAAATTCTGTTATCTATTAGAATTTAATTAGGAAGTCACAGTAGGTATTGGTGATAGAATTATAACAACAAGGGGACAACACAACACTATACTTTGCACTGCATTTCCTTGTGGAAAGGATTGCTCAAGATTTCCAAGGTCATTACCCTAAGTGAGGTCCTCCATTCATTAAATCGAACACCTGAGCTGGATTTAACGACTGTTTGAATCGACGAAGAAACTTTACTCCCTGATTGTCTCCACTCTTTGAGTTAACAAAAACTAAAAGAGGACTGGCACAGGATGGCGGGCATGTGGCTTTCCAGAAACCTGTGAACATAGTTAGAAAGAATGAAATAAATAAGGCTTTATAATATGAACAACACAAAAAGAAATCATGGGAAAGAAAAAGAAAGAAATGAAGGACAAAAGGAGTACATTTTATCATGCATAATGTAAATGCTAAACTGAATATTAGCCCTGCAAGGAAAACATTATTGCTCAAGATCCACCAGTTCAATTTTTTCCTCTCCGGTGTTTTCAGTGCCTAGATTTAGTAAAATCCTGAAGACAATAGCTTTATTGTTTTTTCACACTGAAAAAAGTTAATCTTTTAGAATACTTCTTAAATTGCGTCTTTGTAAATTATCACATAATTAAATATATATTTCAGTTACAAGTGCTTAGTTTTTCATCTGATTTTTCTTTAACCTTACTGGGTTGAACTGGATTGTCTATGTCTGTATCAGCTTTCTAAGACTACTCACAGATTTTAAAAGTTACTGTACTCATTTTCTCCCAGCTGAGACTTTGAATGACAACTTTTTTCTCACCCTGAAGTCATACTTTTAAATCTAACAGAATCACTAAACAACAGACCTTTGGTAGTGATCCAAAGCTTATTAAAGTCAATGCAGGTCTTAACTAATTACAGCAGGCTTTCTATAAGGGCCTTGGTAAACAGTACTAACGGACATTGTTGTCACCAACATGACCACTCTGTGGAAGCAGTGGTTTCTCAACAGCACTTCAAAATCAGACATCACAGGTATAAGTTTTGACATTTGTTTCATGCAATAGTATACTAGGTATAATATAGTACAACTATGTTGTTTTCAGTTGCCTTAAAAAATGCTAAAGCTACAAATAAAAAATTGACATTATAGGATGATGCTAATTTAATTCCACATTATGATAATGTATAATTGAAAATAAGGTTTGATTAATTTATTTAAATGCCAAGAAAAATAATTTCACATATGGAACCATCTTCCTAGTATGAATAATAAATAGCTGCATGACACTCTTGTCTGACACACCACATAGCAAGTAAATAGAAAAGAGTAAATGTACAAAGAATAAACAATCATTTTTGCTAACTTCTTACAATAAAATTCATTAAATTGTGTTAAAGATGTTGGTCTACATTTGCCATAAACACAAACTATAAAATTAAAGTAGTCAGATTTCATGATACTTGTTATTAAACCACTCCCTGCCTTTAAGTGCAGTCTCTCAGTGTTCACACGTCTGTATCCTGAACCACCAAAGAGCACCTCCAAGTTTTGAACATTTGATGGGTTTTTTTATCAGTGTGTTGCAGAATTGTTACACTGCTTATACTTAAAAGGAAGTTAGAGTGGCTATGGAAGCAATTCCTCTCTTTAGCCTGGTAAAGTAGCTGTTGGATCTCAGCCGTTCAGCTAGCTTACCTCTGCATAAAGCAAAGTTATCTCTAGTTTGAGAATGTGTAGAATGAGTGATGCATCAGCCCACTTCATCTGAGGACTCTGGTCATTCACTTGAAAAGTCTCCAAAGATCATAAATAAAATGGAAGAAAATTTCCAGTTGGAGAACTTTCAAAAACATTTTAAAATCAGGTAAGTAATCTTCTAAAAAGCTACATGGAAACTTATACTACTCTCTGCATTTGAAGACTGCATTCTCACTAGGCACTGCAAGACCAGAGCTACCACTGAACACACTACAACACTACGTACCATCAGAGTCTATACTGTTTAGTGCTGTTGGAGGTATGATCGATACCTTACATTGGCCAAGCGGACATTTACGAGGATACAGATCTTTACAGGCAGTGTGAACCTACAAAAAAAAAATAAAAAAATATTTCTCTACAGTGGAATTTTGGGGTGAAAGTATAAACGACACAGTACCTGTGTAATAAAAATGGACAGATGTACAACATTTAGGTGTAGTGGGAAGACAAACAAAACTGGGGAAAAAACATATGAGTGTTACTTATTCTACAAAACATAAGTTTGGAGTACTTAATCTTCAGATACCTATATAGAAGATATGAATCATCCTTTTATGGGAATCACCTCCATCCACAAGCAAAGAAGGACTAAGTTCTCAGCAGCCAGCATCTGTGCTGAGGCAGCGGGCACACTGTGCACATGTCAAGCAATAGCTCTATACATGCCTGATCCACCTGGATGTTCTGGAAGATGTATCTGCGCTAAAGCCAGCACATCAAGCAAGCCAGACCAGCCTGTCAAAGGTGGGTCCCATAAACTACGCATTGTTGAAGCCTCTTCCATAATTAGTGGAAAAACAGGCACATGCAGAGGGTGCTGCACTTCACCTAAATTTCAGATCACTTCTAGAGATGCCAATCATTTCCCACTGCCTACACACAGAGCCTCAGACATCTATATGTCAAAATCCTCAGCAATAAAAAAATAGCTGACTTTCCACTTTTGTAGTCTAGCATATGAAACCCATCTTTTTAGACAAGTTTAAAACATTAAGACAAAACTATATTTTGGGAAAACAGTAGCAACATGTTAAAGAATTTCAATCAGTGACCTACAGAGCGTTGTGAAGAAGAGCAGTTCAAGATCTTGCAGTAAGAAAAATATTACTATGATAATATTAATAAATAGCAATAAATATTAATATCACTAGTATTACTAAAATATTATTACAGCTTTATCTATGATAAAAAAGGCAAGACAGTAACATATGATTATCAGGCATACAGAACAGGCATCTGAACCTTCAGTTATCTGTTAGAAGAAGGCAGAGAAAACACATTGCATGACAACACCTATTAAAGAAAAGCTGCATCTGTGGGCATACTAAAAATTAAGTAAAGTATGACAGTCATGAGAAATTATGAACATTAGAGAGACCTGAGTTTGCACAAGCTGTCTGCTTCTACTTAATCCAAAAGTTCAGTTATGAAATGACAAAATAAAAATAATGCAAGCAATAAAACTGGCAAAATCCTCGACACTTGGACATGGTTCACTGCACCTACCATAGCTTTACACCAAAGGCACTTCCAATCTTGCAGGCGTAAAACACTGCCACAGGTCTTGTCGCAGACTGCGCATTTGGCACTGACGGGCAGATTACCCTCTAACCACTGGTGGGGCATAGCTATCTGTGAAGAAGGAGTTACAAAAGTTAAATACTCAGAAAGAGAAATTAGAAGCTTTTGTCTCTCAAATACTGGATTTAAAATATTGTCCATAGCTGTACCCTTTCATAAAAGAAGCAGGAATAGCTGACCAGGATAAGTGACACTGATGTTCACAAGGCAACAGTTATGAAGGCAGACTATGGCGATGTTTCATGTGCTAGGCAGAAAACGTGACAGCTGAAGAAGGGAGACACATCTCCTTGAACTATTCATGGTACTATGGTAGCAACTAACCACAAAACAACGGGGGAGTTAAATCTAGAGACTTCGTAATACAAATAAGAACCCATTTCCTTAATGTTGACTGCATGACACAAACCAATTAAAATAACTAAAGTTCAGAAGAAATCTGTGGCTTTATGCACCCCCCTAGTTACCATGACTGGTAAGTCACAGCTCTATAAAGCAGTCCCTAAAGGCAGTGCAAAGCTTTACTCAGTGCACTCTTTCTTTGTCCCAGTGATACCATGGGCAACTCATGACACTCATAGGTGCGCAACTTGGTAGTAACCTTCTGGAAGAAGTTTAATGCCAGTGGCACAGATATAGTTGTGTTTGTAAAAATAACCAAACTGTCACAATAAAGCTCTGGAAAGCTTTTGTCATTTCTCCTGCTAATTTTAAAATTCCTGCTTTCATCAGTCAAAAACACCCTCCATATGTCAGTGAATTCCAAGCAGGCCTCCTGGGGAGCAGCTATTGGTAAGGAGGACACAAAACAGATTGCCAAAACAGCATGGCAGCAGTGTAAAATATCACCTTTGCTTAAGAGCAGCAGAAACTTCTGGGAGCAATTCTCCAGCTTCAGAGTTTCTCTGCATGATGCCTTTAAAAACTTGTAACACAGTTATGATCTAGTGCCCACAGATACTAAACTTATCTTGTGAGATAGGAATATAACTTTTGTTCTAAATACCACATTAATTTCACGATTAACTTCAATGGGTCACATGGCAATATTCATATGCTTAGCCTTTTTTTTTATCCCCACAAAGAACAGCTCTGGAAAATGCTGTAAATATGAATAGTACTTACACCATCTTCATCTTCAATGATGTCTTTTCCAATTGAGGCTAATGTAGTCCATTTGCAGTTATTTGTTGCTCGGACAGCACACCTTTTATGTGCTTTAAACTTACACACTGGAAGGCACAATAAACATGCATAGTATGTTATTTGCTGTATTTCAGTGATACGTATATTTAAAAAAATTAAACACAGATATTCCATAAAACAGCCAAGTACATGTCACTTACTGCTGTACACATGACACAAACCAACTAAAAGAAAATTCAGCTCATGACTCCAGCTTTTACTCTCTGAACAGGGTTTAACCGGTTTAGCTGTAGTCAATGTTAAAGTGTGTCCTCAAACCCACACTGGTCCCCATTTTTTCAGGTGCAATGCAAGGTACTAAGGTACAAATATATCTTTAACTATGGTTCTGCCTTTTCCATTCCTCCAGTAACACAACTCAGATACCTGCTTAAATTTGCAAAAGGTGATGGGAGAGTTTTTCACAGGAATATTTTGCTTCAGGAGCTCTGTTTATTTGCCCAAAGGATACCTTTTGGGCACTATACTATGCCAGTTCTCCCAGAAGCTGCACAAATGAAGGGTTCGGTGGTGACATATTCATGCAGGATACTGGTAGTTACAGTATTTTCACAGAAGCTACTTTAAGTGAGAAAGAGCCCGATTTCTTACTGGATTATTTACTAAAAATCTACTAATTGGAAGACTCAGCACAAGTGTGTAGTACAGGCAGATGTTTTGACAATCTAATAACTATTTGTATTCTGTTCAACTCAATTAATATGACTAGTTAATGATATCATATTATACCAAACAGACTGACACACCCAACTGTAGGTATTTCTGTTACTGGAAGTGCCTGACATAATTCTATTTAGACTGCATTATATAAATTATTTTGGCAAAAACCATTAAAGGTTTATGAGAACTAGCCAGCAGACCAGAAATAGTAGTCTCTTTTCAAACAAATATTTGACAGGAAATTTCAAAAGCTTTGGCCCATTGTTTGTCCATCATTAAAGAGCATTAAGCCATGGTACAAAAGGTCTTGTGAATCATAAATTTCTCATTTTAATTCCACTGATCCATTGCCAGATCAATTTAAGAAATGAATTGAGACTACGTAAGCAACATCTGAGTTTGAGAGCAATCCACCCTGTTCTGGGAGGTGTGTGGAAGTATGTTGTTAGCATAAAGAAAGAGAAAGAACCAGAAAAAGGAGGTTTTTTGCTTTTAGAGTAACTCCCCATGCCATTTCAAAAAGCACCATTCATAGTCTCAAAGTGTTCAAATATTCCATGTTCCTCAACTAACAGGGTAGGCTCGCATTATCAAAACAGCTCGGCATCATACTGTGTGCTTGCCAACCGAAGCTGGTTCCAAGCGTCTAAAGAAGTCAGCTCTCACAGAAGCTCGGAAATAAAGGCTGCATTTTCAAGTGATGGGCCTTGAGCAGTTCTGCCGCTTTAATGTTTTGCAGAAGATATACCACTGAATTCAGGTTCCTACTCATAAATTATATGCATTTGTCTTTGTCACACAGGTCAAAATACAACAAATCATATTACTCTGAGCATTAAACAATATCAAAACCAATGACCTTAAGACACAGATGTAACTTTGAGCAAAAAACATAACAGTACAGAATAGATGGGTATAGAAAAGAAAATTTAAAATCAAATCTCAGCCTTAGTTACCACTACCCACTAATTTCTTTTGTCTCAGATGACACTGTATCCCATTCATGAATCAGTCTGATATTTGAAATAATCTGGAAACATGCAGACACACTGCTAGACATTAATTACTACTACTTTACCAATGAAAGTTAAAAGATGAGAAAAAGAAAGATTTAGTCAAACCAAATCTAGAATATTTGTAGAACATGACCTTAAATTTTAATTTCCTGTGTAAATGTTTCTAGCTAGAATATGAAGCAAGTGTCTCAGAAAGCCAAGCAAGAGAATCACTTAATTAGTGAACTGTTGTCACAGTGGTACCAATATCTCCTGTCAGACATGGTGATTAAATCTAGAGCTATTACTGTATATAATGAAGAAAAGTCAACATTACTGAATGTTATCATAGGATCTCTTGCACTGAAAATATACACCTTTATTATAAAACACTACATTTGCAAAGGCCTTTCATTCTAACCACCCACAAATTAATTCAACTGCATTGACAGGACACTCAATTTTTCTGTTCCCCATGAAATTTACCACTTTATCACCTTTTTTATTATGAGTTATCTCTTCTGTGATTTTCAAAGAATGGCTCAGACTGTTATTTTCCAACCCCAAAGGTTAAAGCCAAAGTTTTGAAACTAATCCGAAGATCGCCAGTATCTATAGTTCAAGATGTCGAGATGGAAGGATTTGTTGTCAGGTGTTTAAAGAAGTTTTTTGTTTTGTTTCCAAGAACACTATTACATGATGGATGGACAAGCCACAGTGAAAACAGAGTGACTCATGAAAACAGCCACCTAACTTCACTCCAATTTGAAGCTTATGCCTATGTTATAAAGCATAAAATTCAGTAGTTTCTTGGTAGTTTTTACTATCTGCACCCAAATAAATAACTCACTTAAGTTAATTTAATATTACAGAGTGCTGAAAGGATACTCATATTACAAAGCCAAGTACTACAAAGTTAAGTTACTCGTGCAACTTTAATAAATGTTCTGTATGCAAGTGTAAAGTCCTCAGTTATATGATCACACACTTTTGAGAACAGGACACTCATTCACTGCATGCAATGGATGTCTCTTTATAAGTATGCAGCTGTGCCATACTCTAGTTCTTAATAATTTTCAAGAGATATTTGCCTTATTTACCAAAAGTTAATGAAATACTGCTTTTTAGACACCAATATTCATTTCTTCCTGGCCTTCTAAAGTATTGTTATTATTACTGTTGTTGTTATTATTATTGTTGGTGGTGATAGTGTTGTTGTTACTATCATTACTATGCTCAGTACTACTACATTTAAGACCTTTTTTTAATGTTGTGTATCTTCAAAGTATCAGTGACCTCAAAACAGCTTCAACTGATTTTGCAGTTATAGAAAAATCAGCATTTCTGTGATACAAGTCCCAGATTACACAAACCACACAACTACTGATTTGGCTGAGGTCATTGCCGGACCACTCTCC